ACTCGCACGTACCGCGCAACAACCAGGAGGAAGAGGGACAATACACACGCACACACACGCACACGACGAATACAAGTCGCTACGGCGGCAGGAGGAGGAGGGTAGGGACGATCGTTCTCGGAACTTGGGTGACCTCCCCCGGTGCAACCGGCGAACAGCCGGACCCGACGGGTTAACTGTACAACCACTTATGTACCTCGACGCCGTAGGAATGCGGCGACGATGATGCCGTCGTCGTCGTCGTCTTCTTCGTCGACGTCGTCGTCGTCGTCGTCGTCGTCGTCGTCGTTGTCCCATGAAATAACACATGACATGCCGCGGTATGACGAACCTCCTCCTCTCGCCGGAGGTCCCCCAGTCGTCCGCTCCTATCCTGTAAATGCGAACAGAGGAGAAGCACTTTATACCGTGCGGATGATCCATGCTCGAGAGCGCGGATCACGTCATTCATTCACCTGTGCTGTCGCTGATCTCTACTGCATCGAACCCGCCGTCTCGTTCATCGTGCCGCCGCTTGCTGATCTATTGTTCCCCGTAAATTCCGGTCGTTCGCGGATCGACGATCCGATCGGATCGCGGAAGAGCCGAGCTGCCGTATCGCGTCTCGATCGCGCTCGATTCTGAGCTTTTTCCACAACCTGAGCCGCTCACGCTCGAGGTTCTCCGCGTGCTTCGTCATTTTTGCGGGTCTGTATGAACGTATTGATTTTGCACGATGTTAACGGCCGCATTTTTGCACGCTCGTGCTGTTGAGAGCAGACGTTTTTTAGACGTCGCAAGGTAGCTTGCGAGTAGATCGAGTGTCTCGATCTTTGATGAAGTCGCACGCTCGATTAGGGACAAAAAATATTCCTTTACAGAGACAACTTCGAAATGTTGAAACGTCGCGAAAATTGGATGCACGTTGATTATACTTCACACGAAATATGTCGCGTCTGTCGAAACCGTTTCAGCCTCTGTTTGAGAATTGACATAGGTAGCGTTGGTTGACTTATTTATTTGAGAAATAGATTAATCTGACGACACACACGAAGAAGAGAGAGAAGACGCGTACTTGTAACACGCCATTCGTCGGCCGCCGTGAAGCGTGATTACTAACGGCGACGAGTCTTAAGCACCCGAACGGCTTATTCGCCGCAACGTTCGCCTCGTAAAGCCCGATGTTCATGAATATCGAATTACGGGAGCTAGATCGCGGAAGATCTTCGTTACCGCGTTCCACGTACCAGAACCGAAGGGTTTTTCTACGTTTTAGTTAGTTCGCGCGCGCGCACGGCACGGTCTGATCTGGTCGGAACCATTCATTCGAATAGTTGGTCTCCTCTATGAAACCCGCAGTACCGTTTCCTCGCTTCTTATGAACCTCAGAATTGGATCGTTTCTCTCTCTCTCTCTCTCTCTCTCTTTTCTCTTCCCCCCTCTCCCCTTCTCTGTCTCTCTTGGTAACCGAACGGGTCTTTTTCGACCGTTCCCATCTCCGATAGGGTTCTTACTTAGAGCTCTCCCTCGGTCTTTTATAGGAACACTAGTTTCATAGAAACACACTATCACGCCGATCCTGGGAACCCCATTGAAGCTCCATCGACACGGAGCGCAAGACATCCCGTCACTCGAGAAATGAAATGCGTCGCGGCGCGAAAGTCGTGCGGAATATTTCAATTAATTTCTAGTGTCGTGCGCATATTAATGCGCTCGATATCTCGGCGACACGGCGCGGCGCTTCATTAAAATCGTGATTATTTCAGAAATGATCCCCGAAAGGACATATCTCTCGCGGAAGTTTCTCCTCTCGCGAAAGCTGCACCCGCGCGTCTTGACTCTCGCTCCGAGTAGTGAATGGAAGGATTCGTCGTAGGTTTGACAGATAGTCGGGAACGAGCCATCGTCGATATTCCAAAGTCGAGGAGAATTTCGTAGCGGCGGTGTGCGCGATATGTGAGATATTCCGACCTGTGTGTCGACGAGTGTTAGATTATGTACACGATCCTGTCGTTCATTCACCTGTTACGTCTCTCTCCCACCGCTCCTTTCCTCCCTCATGCCTTCTCACTCGATCGTTCGCTCGTTCACTCACTCGTACTGTCTGCCTACCTACCTACCTACTTACCTACCTACTTACCTGCCTGCCTGCCTGCCTACATGACTATCTACCTACCTATCTATTGTGTCTACCCTGTCTACTTACCTACCAACCTGCCTGCCTGCCTGCCTGCCTGCCTGCCTGCCTGCCTGTCTGCCTGTCTGCCTGCCTGCCTGCCTGCCTGCCTGCCTGCCTGCCTGCCTGCCTGCCTGCCTGCCTGCCTGCCTGCCTGCCTGCCTGCCTGCCTTCCTTCCTACCTACTTACCTACCTACCTACCTACCTACCTACCTACCTACCCACCTACCTACCTACCTACCTACCTACCTACCTACCTATCTACCTAACTATCTACCTATCTACCTGCCTGCCTGTCTGCTTGCATACCTACCTACTTACCTACCTACCTACCTACCTACCTACCTACCTACCTACCCATCTACCTACCTACCTACCTATCTACCTACCTACCCACCTACCTACCTACCTACCTACCTACCTACCTACCTACCTACCTACCTACCTACCTACCTACCTACCTACCTACCTACCTACCTACCTATCTACCTAACTATCTACCTATCTACCTGCCTGCCTGTCTGCTTGCATACCTACCTACCTACCTACCTACCTACCTACCTACCTACCTACCTACCTACCTACCCACCTACCTACCTATCTATCTACCTACCTACCTACCTACCTACCTACCTACCTACCTACCTACCTACCTATCTACCTACCTACTTACCTACCTACTTACCTACCTACCTACCTACCTACCTACCTATCTACCTACTTACCTACCTACCTACCTACCTATCTACCTAACTATCTACCTACCTACCCACCTACCTACCTATCTACCTACCTACCCCTACCTACCCTACCTACCTACCTACCTACCTACCTATCTACCTACCTACCTACCTACCTACCTACCTACCTACCTACCTATCTACCTAACTATCTACCTATCTACCTGCCTGCCTGTCTGCTTGCATACCTACCTACTTACCTACCTACCTACCTACCTACCTACCTACCTACCTACCCATCTACCTACCTACCTACCTATCTACCTACCTACCCACCTACCTACCTACCTACCTACCTACCTACCTACCTACCTACCTACTTATCTACCTAACTATCTACCTATCTACCTGCCTGCCTGTCTGCTTGCATACCTACCTACCTACCTACCTACCTACCTACCTACCTACCTACCTACCTACCTACCTACCTACCTACCTACCCACCTACCTACCTATCTATTTACCTACCTACCTACCTACCTACCTACCTACCTACCTACCTACCTACCTACCTACCTACCTACCTACCTACCTACCTACCTATCTACCTACTTACCTACCTACTTACCTACCTACCTACCTACCTACCTACCTATCTACCTACTTACCTACCTACCTACCTACCTATCTACCTAACTATCTACCTACCTACCCACCTACCTACCTATCTACCTACCTACCCACCTACCTACCTACCTACCTACCTACCTACCTACCTACCTACCTACCTACCTACCTACCTACCTATCTACCTACCTACCTACCTACCTACCTACCTACCTACCTACCTACCTACCTACCTACCTATCTATCTATCTATCTATCTATCTATATACCTGTCTGCCTACTTGCCTTTCTCTCTCATTCTTCAGCGTGATTCTACTATGCTATTACTTGGACCATAGATCACGCTCGGCGGTCCGCGAGGTCGCGGAAAAGGGAGACAGAGATGAACGGAGGTCGAGGAAAGAGGTCTCGCTTAGAGCTTATAACGAAGCCATGTTATATCCCCTCTGTATCTATCGCGTCGTTAATACACCGCATGATTACTTTTTTCTCTCCTCCCGCGACATCGTAGAGAATAGCCTCGCAAACACCGCATTGTCCCTCGTGTAATCAACGATTTTTCTCGAATTTTAATTGCCTCAATAATACCCCGTGTGTCTTACGTATATCTCGAGATTAAACGATCGTTATCAGTGACGTGCGAAATGTATGCAATTCTGAAGAGGCTTTGAAGGATTGACACCGCAATAATTAATTAACGTCATTAGATGCGTTACACATCGCGTCCGTTCATTTACGGGCGTTCCACCAATAGTTTTATGTCGTTGCCGGGGCAGGTCCGCGTAACTGGAAGCGAAACTCGAGGCTTTGTCGTTCATTGACATCTTATTTATGAGCGGCGATCCTGGTCGAGTGAGCTTAGCCGTTCTCCGGCAGGCATGAAAGAGCGAGCGGTACATACGGCTATCTAGGAAGCCTCGCGGCTCTTCGAGCGCGCTCCGCTCGCGGAGATGGAAAAATCTGGAGAATGTCGAAGCCGTCGACCAGTTTCAAGAACTCACCGCCGCACCACTCGGCAAGTGTGTGCATATGTGTGCGCGCAAGTTGATTCTCGCGCGGAGCCACCTTGTCTCCTTTGGTTTTGTTCCTATCGTGCGATCGCGCTAAGCGTACCTCTTTCTTTCTCCCTCTCTTTCTCTCTCTCTCTCTCTCTCTCTCTCTCTTTCTCCCTCCCGCCCCACGACGATGCGACCGCTATTTTTGCATACCGCCTGCACTCCGTCGGTGCAGCCTTGCGTTTCCACCTTGCGGAATTAGCGAAGTCTCTTGCATCGATCGCGGGTGTCTAATTCCTGCGGAAATTAGCGTGAAATGTCACAAGATACAGTGGAAAACTTGATCACTCGGTTTTTGCTTAAAGAAAGGACAGCTCGTCCTTGAGAGGAAAGAATCCCTTACTTCGGTTGATTACAGAGCCGGTTTTTTAATCTTACCGCAAACTTGATATTTTGTTACTATTGTTTCGTCGTTAACATGTTCCCTTCGTCTGATCACGTGGGGATTAAACGAGACATTCAGGACTTGTGATTTGTTGCAGGAACCTCGCGATCGGTATCGGGATACAAAATTTCCCGGAGGGATTGGCGGTGGCGCTACCCCTTCAAGCCGCCGGGATTAGTACGTTGAAGAGCTTTTGGTACGGCCAACTGTCGGGGATGGTGGAACCTATCGCCGGTGTCCTTGGCGCAGTCGGAGTGACGCTCGCCGCACCTGCGCTACCTTACGCACTTGCTTTCGCGGCCGGCGCAATGATCTACGTCGTGATCGACGACATCGTCCCGGAAGCGCATCAAAGGTATGTACCGTAATCACCCGTCCGGGAAAACTTGAAACTGCGAGCGACTCCTATTTGCGCTTTTTATAATGCTCAAAATTACGGCTGCGCGCCATTAACGGTCGCTCAACTCGTTCTCGAGATCGCCGTGACGCGACAGGAGTCTCTCGAAAATGTAAAAGCGCGACGTGCTGGCGATCTCGTTTAGTCGGCGACGAACGAAACCTCACTTACGCTCATTTAGCCAGCTCCTTCTTTGATCCTGGAGTCCAAGCCAAGTCCCCTTAAACAGTCGAGCAACATTGAAACCCTCAGACTCCTCCTTCCCGCGATATGGAATCATAAAAGAGAAATAATCTGCCATCTTGATATCGTTAGTTTATTATCGTATCTGCAAGACGCCTCGACCTCTTAAAATTATCGAGCAAAGTAACGAATTTGCCAAACTCTAGTATGCCTGTGTGAGACACATTTTGACGATCGAGAACGCCAAAGGGAGTTGAGTGTCGGAAAAAGAGTTTTATAATTACGCGCGATGCACGGCGCGCTCTTGGAAAACACGCGCGCGCGTATTCTTATTGAAAAAGCGTGGAAGGTGGCGTTGAATGCAGAAGGGTGAAGCCGGTTCGCGCAAAGGGACTCGGGCGCAACTCGTTCTCTTAACTGGTTCCGGCTTCTCGTCCTTTCTTCTCTCCCTCCTCGTTCTCTTCATCTCTATCTCTCTCTCCGTTTTCTCTTCGTCTCTCCATCCCGTCTTTCGTACCTTTTCTTTTTCTTTTAACCATCGTCCATACCGGAGGCACCAGTCCACCACGGTGCACTTGCACCCGTTTCCGTCTCACGTTTCACCCTCAGCCTATTCAGGACGAATTAGAGCCTGGGCCTGGGCTCGGAGTCAGAAGGGCGGAAGGCGCTTTTCCCACCGACACAATGGCCCTTTATTTCGGGATTTATTCCCGTCGCGGACGGACGCGGATGGCCGCGGCCTATCGATGGCGATCTCTCTCGGTTACGCGCGAGGATCCACCGAGGATCCTCGCGCATCCTGCGGACCGCTTTCCTCCCGCTTTCGTTATCGTTCGCTAACTTTGCTCATCGTCTTTCGACTACGTTGTATACGTGGCGAAATCACGAGTAGCGAGTAGTTGCCGTGTGGATTAGGAAGCGGAAAAAAACACAATAATAGCTCTCGGTCTCAAGTGAAGTTTCGATATCATCTCGTGGTGGTGCGTTTGATACAACACTGTATCAAACTCGTACTTTTACTCGCTCGCATCGTCGATCACTGTCGTGATCTCGTCTCCATTTGGTCGATAATTGCAAGTCCTAGCGAGAGACTCGGTAGGGTTCAACGTCGCCAGCACCCGACGACGTCGCTGCGGAATCCGTTCCGACCGCGCGGGGCATCGAAGCGCATAAATATGCAGGAGGAAAAAATTCGTGTCGCGTATGTCCTATGAATTTCTACTCGTATCGTGCGCGCTGACGCATACGCACACGCATACGTACACGTATGCCTGTGTATAATACCTACCACACTCGTAAACATACTCGAAAGCACACGCGTACGTATCTACTATGGTGTCCGTATTCGAGAGCGATTACGGTACAATGGCGCGTGACGGCAGTGCCGTAGTTAGCGCGCCGCCAGCGAAACGGACGTGGCGAATTTCTTTCCCAGGCCCGCTCGCTTGGCGGCCTAGCTGAAGAAGGCGCATTGTCATTATAATTGGCTCCTTTTGTATTTCGCGTGTGCGATCTAACCGTCCGGCCCGGATACCCGAGAACGAGCGCGTACATGCGTTCTCTTTCGCGCGCGCGCGCGCGCGCACGCTCGCTCCCTGAGACAGTCGACCTCGACTCACTCCCTCGGGAACCCGCCGGCTGACCGGAAAACACAAAAGTGAAAACAGATCGCTCCTCTGCTTACGCGCGTTTCCGTCTCTCTCTCTCTCTCTCTCTCTCTCTCTCCCTCTCCTCTCTCTCTCTCTCCCTCTCCCTCTCTCTCTCTCTCCTCTCTCTCTCTCCTCTCTCCTCTCCTCTCTCTCCTCTCCTCCTCTCTCTCTCTCTCTCTCTCTCTCTCTCTCCTCTCTCTTCTCTCTCTCTCTCTCTCTTCTCTCTCTTCTCTCTCTTCTCTTTTTTCTCTCTCTCCTCTCTCTCTCTCTCCTCTCTTCTCTCTCTCCTCTCTCTCTCTCTCTCTCTCTCTCTCTCTCCTGCTTCGTGGAAACCGCCGTTGCGGCGAAGAACACGATGTGGGGATCGTCGCGAGATCGCGAAGCCGCGGCTTGATTTCTCTGACGGCGTTCGGCGCTCGCCATTTTCTCGTAATTCGAACGACGATCGCGCGTCCGACGAACTTATCGTACGGCAAATAAACGGTCGAGGAGGGCCGCATTCATAGCCGTTTCTGCGGGATTAAGGACCCTTTATCTATGCGCGTGTGCATGTGCAAACATGCACGTGTGTATTAATAGCGAGTCTCGACTCCTTGAGGAACGGCCATGAATACGGCCCTAAGTGTCATAAGTACCCGACTCACAGATTGTACTGTTTGAGTAGTCCGCAGTCGTATTTACCAAACCCACATTTTCCTCGTTTAAGTGAGATATGAGAAATTGTAGGTTTGGTCGCACGTCGACGCTGATAATTTCGACAAATGAATTTAGACGCTATCCGAGACCGCGAGTCAGATAGAAACGGACAAATCACGTGAGTGAGCGCCGCGATCACGCCGGAGAGATCGGCGATTTTTGCAAAGACGCGTTTTCGCGATCGCGAGTAACAATTGCCGGCGCGTTCGAACATGTAGCAGCCGAAATCGGAGTGACAGAGTGATCAGGACGAAGGTACGAACAGGACTCCTCCGAATCCTGCCGGGAGCCCGATACTTTCTCGCAGCGAGAAGAAATCTGCTCGACTCGGCGGCGTTTCGCGGAACGGTCGCCCCTCGCAAACAATTTGCATTTTCCTCTGCTCGGCGAAAAGGAACGCCTGCCTCGCCGATGATACCCGTGTTTCGTGTTCGACGCGACCGATTCACGAGCGGGCTATTTAATTTATCGGCGTATCGTGAATGTTGTCGGATCAAAGAGACACGAAGATTCGTCGAGCTGGTTCGTGGAGTTGCTCGGTGAAAAGACGTCTCGACATTCATCGGGTGAGTCGAGTTGTAACGTTAAACACCAGAGATAATTGAAATCTCGCGTCGCGACTTTGGTAGCACGAGCGAGACGCGACGCCCCAGTTTTGCTGAACGAACGAACGAACGAACGAACGGACGGACGGACGGACGGACGAGCGAGCGAGCGAGCGAGCGAGCGAGCGAACGAGCGTCTACGATGACGACGGCGCGGCGACGGCGACGACGACATTGTCCCGGCTACCACGGCGATGAGATACGATAATGGCCAATAAAAATACAAATTTTCTGAGGCACACCGAAAGGAGGTATTTACCGCGCGGATATGATTGATGTGGTAGAACGCCCACCGAAATACAACGGCGCGTTTCGCCGGCCGTTAAAATTGATGGCCGTGTATAATTTACGAAATCAACAAGCCGTGACGTGCAATACCGGGTATATACGCGTGTAGCGCGAGTGTGTGCTTTGTATGTGCTTAATCCCTACTTACGCCGCGAAAACCCTTTTATTTCTCGCCATCCTGGGGCTCTCTTTCTCCCAGGTCGTTGCCACGGGGCCGTAGGCAGAGAGACGACGATAGTGGACTGCGGCGCCAGTGCCGCCTTTTTAATTCCCCGCACCCTCGTCCGTCCTCCCTTCGTCCATCCGGGTCCTTTGATTATTACGTTCGATCCGTACGCACTCGTTGCGCTAATTAAAATTCTCCCACCCGCCTCTTGCCGTCCAGCCGCATCACACCGTCCGACCGAATCGCGAGATTGCGCCCGCGCTAGACGCAAGTTCGAAGAAAGTTGTCCGCGGAAAGTCGCCCGAGGAAACGTCGAAGGGACGTCCGCGAACTCGCGGAACTCGTCGCGGGCGGCCCCCGAGATATCTCCTCGGGGATACCGACTCGGGTCGTCGCGCGAATAGATAGAGAATACTTAATGCGAGCGTCTCGCGTACTTTCTGTTTACAGCGGAAACGGCAAATTCGCCAGCTGGGCCGCCATCGTCGGTTTCCTGGTGATGATGTCCTTAGACGTTGGCTTAGGTTAAGGATGTCGTTTCCGACGTATTCGCGCCGGCGTCCTCGCTTTTGCAGAGGCGCGTCAAAATCACGCGGTAGCGGTAAAAAAAAAAAGAGTGTTACGACGAGGGCGGGGGGAGGGAGTTTCCTCGCCTCGCGTGCGACATTCGCCGAACAGTAATAATGTGTTTTCTGTCTTTTTTCCTCCTTCTTTTTTTTTTTTTGTTCGCCTTACAACAAACGTGAGGCACCTTCTTCTTCCTCGGGAGAACTGAACGGTAGCGAAAGAGACGTTTTCGATCGCGTACGAAACATATTTCCGTGATTCCTGATATTCATCGAAACGCTTTGATGGAGAAAATTGCCGCAATGTTGCCGAACGTGTTCGACACCTTTCACGCGACTCGTTGGCGCGATAAAGTGTAGAGATTGAAACCGGTATGATTTCCGCGAGTCGAATTTTCGCAGGCGCATGAAATGATCAGTCTTACGTACGCCGCGCGAAGAGGATCATTCGTAAATTCAAAGAACCTGAATTTACCATGAAATACCATTACCGTAAACCACCGGTTTCAATCTCCATGAGATATCGTCCGAGTCGCGTTGGAGAATTACGTTAATATCGATTTTATCCTTCACAAATCGACGGCTTGGTCGGCACTTTTGCGAGGGTAATAAATCGCCGCTTAAAAGTACAACGTTTTCGCATCTTGACATCCGGTAGGTATCTTTAGCTTCAGCGAACCTGTAGAACGCGTTTCATCTTGAAAAAGTCTTCCTCCGAGTATCTAGTCCGCGTTGGTGCGATTCCAAAAATCGAGTCGAGCTGAAGGCGCACGAGCCGCACTTAATGATCGGGCATACAGATCGATGCTTTTCAGGATTCACTGGAAAACGCAAAACCGATGCAATCGTTGCGAGCCAACCGACTGTCAGTAGATAGATCGAGTATAATATAAAATATTACGCAGCGTCGAGAGAATCGTCCGAAGAAGGGAAAAGATTACCCATGTACCGATACCGATACGAGTCGACATTGAAGTTTCGTGTCGCTCGTCAATTTTTAACACACAAATGATTGTTATCCCGGGATGTTACGCGGTCGGAAATCTGCCGGAGCCTCTCAGTCCCCACGAATAGGGAGGACCACCGCTGCGTCTGCTGGTGCTATATTCGTTACATTAATTATCTCCCCGATGTTCCTACATTATTACTCGGCTAAGTCCCGCGCGAGTACCGTTAGTATCCTCGAGATTTTAATCGCGGCTTAATCGTCGAATTAGTTCGTTCTCGAATCGTCCGTACGTACGCTTCCGATTCGCCGTAATTCACCGCTAGAATTCCATCTTAATGAGAGAGGACGCAGCACACCGCCGCATTATGCAAATTCACGTTTGCGCCTTTATGGAACACAAATCTCTCTCTCTCTCTCTCTCTCTCCTCCCCTCACAGAGTTACAAATATTTCGTAACTCGCGAGCGGTTTCTCGTGCGTGCGTACGTGCGACACACGTGCGCAACGCACGCACGCAATCGGGCCCGCGATTCGTTCGTTGCTTCGTTTATGCCTGGCAGGTAAACCTATACGCGTATATTTATTACGTTACAATGTGTCCTTTCTAATCACCGGTCAGGCAACGGTGCAATTTTGTTCTTACGGCGACATGACGTTTATCTCGAAGGTAGCCGCTAACGTAACGAGGTTGCCGCTATACCCGTCGGCGCGGAAATAGACGGCCTTTTATAGTTCACCTCCGTTCTGGGGACTGAAATTCGACATTCCGACGCGCAAATTGTGCGTTTAGAGAAAATTTTTCGAGATACGATATGGGGACACTCGGCGCGCCTCTCACGATACTTTAGCACCGGCACGTTTTGCAACAGTTAGCTAGCGCACTAACTAACTGTCCCATTCCACCGATCCATAACGAAGCCAAGTAAAAGAAAAAACGTCGCGTCAGCGTCACGCAGGACACGAGCAATCGATATGATTCCGCGATTCGAAAGTAGCATAGCCGAATCGCTGTTGGATTCGTCATTTTACCTTCATGACGGCGCGCGCTCGTCTCTCTCTCTCTCTCTCTCTCTCTCTCTCTCTCGTGCGCCTCACCGTATGTAAGATTCTTCATGCATGTAATATTCATTCCCAGCACGACGCGACGCGAACGTAATATTCTGTTTTCATTATTAAGCGACCGCTGCGAGTCGACGTCTCCTCGAGATCGATACCGCTCGATGGGCGTACTTGCGGTAATTGAAAGATACAGAGACCGGCCATCGATATCAGATTCTCGACGCTGCTCATTTATGTAAGATATAGAGACTATATTTTGATACTGTCGATAGTACACCAACAAGTATTAGCATACATACATACATACATATACAAACATATACACATATATATCGACACTCGCGTATGTATACAACTGCATATTCCTCGTACTGATTTCGCGTTAAATGGACCGTTTAATAGACCGTCTGGTTTCACGGACGTCGAGAAGCGTCTCCGACACGACAGTCTACTAAGTAACGTTATCGCGACAACCCGACGAAAACTGCCGTTTCAAGCATTTAGGGACACCACTTTCTCAAGTAGAATTGAGATTGTCAATTTTTAACTGTCAATTGGACCTTTCTATCAGCGAGGATCTTTTACCGCTATCGCGCAAACCGATCGGTGGCGGGTCTTCTCGACGATCTTTCGATCCGGACGATCGACACGACCGCTATACGAAAAGTACGGAAAATCAGCGACGCTCGGTTTATATTAAACCTGTATTGAGCGAGCATCGGTTGTTGTGGAAGCTTCGATGATAGAAGCGAAAGTCGTCGTTGAGAGCGACTTCGACGTGGCTTTACACGCGTCGACGCTCAGGTCACACGACACACGTATGTGCGATGCTTTAGCGAAATATATCTGTAATTAGTCGCGTAACTATGTACGAATATCGTGTAACTATACAAATATTGTATTCTACTTTAGGTAGCTAGCAAGATCGATCGTATAAGTAGCGCGCTCGTTTGGGAATGGTTGAAATCGCGCGAGCGCACGCCGCCCGCCATTTTATCAGTTTCACACGATTGTCTCTTTGGTTATTCGTTTGCATAGGAGATCTACGCCGACGAATATGTGGGGAAACACATAAGAGTGTTTAGATATCGATTAAGATCTCCTGACGATGGATTATGTTTGAAAGAAACGCAACGACTAATTCTCTCCTCGATCGCTCCTTTTCACAGCTGCAATTGAGAATTTCACGTCCCCAGTTAAAAATTAGGTGCCTTCGTAACTTAATTAGCATTACTCCTTTTATCATGATATCAGTATTTGGTGAATTTGTGAGCTATGTTAGCAACGACTGTTTCGTTTTCCATTTATTACCACGCAAAGATTCAGTCAGAATGTCACTCCTCGAAGTCTTTGCGCGTCAAATATCCAAAAAATTGTCTCTTGTACTCATTCATCGCGAATTTGATGTTGCGATGCAATGGTTTTTAAGGTATGCAATAAAAGCAGTGCATTAAAATAATGTGTGTAAGACATCCTGGGATATCCCTTTTGTTTTTGTCCTTAAAGTTGTTCAGTTACAAAACAATGTAATATATCCTCATCATAATAATTCATCAAATAATTGAAAAAAAAAAAGATGTCTATATTTATATCTCGTAACATACAACGTAAGATATAAAGACATGTCCTTCGCTGCACGCAACGTCATGCAACGGCTTTTACACGCATATTATACGCGTTTGTATTTTTAACATGTCTTAATTAATTGTCACATAATTTGCGGACACAATGAGAAACTACCGATTGCATCACAACAGTACGAATGAGAAGGATTGTCGCGAACATGAAATGAATAATTTATCGTCGAGAGGATTTTAGGACCGAGCACACTTGCTCGTAGATTGTTCTTCTTGATAAACAGTAAAGACATTGTGTCGAGAAATGATAAGTGTATCCCGCGACAATCCTGTTCTCGCAGTTTTACCCGGAACGGTAACGGAACACTCTTACACGTCGTGCGAACGCGCTATCGAGTGTTCTCGCCTTTCCCGGGAGATAAAGATTTTCGACTGATACCCTTTCAAAAGTAAAGTGATTCGATCGTAATAGGTGGTATTACGCTAATTGTGAGAAGAAATAAGGAGCACTTGTCGGCGGGAAGTTACAAAGATCTCTCCTCGGCTCAGACACGGTGAAGTGACGGCGTGCAGTGTCGGCGCGGCGCAGCGCGGCGCGGCGCGGCGCGGTGCATCTCTCGCTTCGCGTCTCACCGCAGTTGCATAACCCGAGGAGAACCGAGACATGAATGGAGCCGAGCGACGTGCGACAAGGACGGCTACAGCGCCAGCTCGGTTTCCCGGTGCAACCAAGTGCGAGTGTGTGCGCGCGCGTTGCAGTGGTAGGGCGCACTGACCGAGAAGGATGCCGGTTCGGGAGCAGTGGCGGATTTAGGAATAGATTCGGAGGTGTTTCCAGGGCGATCAAGATACGAGAACATCGCTCTTGACGGCATCGCCACGGGAGACGTGGCTGTGTGCAGCGGAAGACGTCGTCGCGAGCTGTACAGGTGGGTGAACCGATGAAAATTGTCTCTGTTATTATCTTAGTCCGCCGATTCTCCGAGTTTTATCGCTGACAATGCGATTGTCAGTACCGAATCGTTAAAAAGGAAAAAAGAAACGGAGGATATAAAAAAACACACAATATGTATAAAAATAGTATAGTATAAAAATACACGTACGTAAACGAGAAAACGTGGGCTTGCGAATAATAATAATAATAATATAATGATGATAATAATAATAATAATAATAACGACGATTAGCGTCGCGATTAGCGAATTAGCGTCGCTATCAGCGGGAATAATTACACCGAGCGCCCAATCCTTCCGACACGCAGCGGCGCCAAAAAGAATCACGGCTGCCGTTAAACTGTAAACACACGGGCACGTAGCGCGTAGCTCGAAATTGGACTTTATTCCAGTTGGCTGTGTGAAAAATGCATCGCCTGCACCGGCGGATGCTCAAAGCTTCGTTAGGGTCTATTCCTCTCAGCTACGTCGCGCCTCTGTGTTCTCTCGCTCCTCCTTTCCTTGTCGAGCAAACGTACAAAGAGGTGCAGCTAAAAGGAACAGACCCAAGAAAGAAATCCAGCAGGCAGGGAATCCGTACTACGAGGGGTGGCACGAATTAACGTGCCTAGAGCAGCGCGATGTGTGAATCCGCCACTGTGTTCGGCGTAAGATCGGGACGGGGAGAACGGGGCGAACATAAATGACGCAGTGACTGGCAAAGTCCAGAGGAGAGAGAGAGAGAGAGAGAGAGAGAGAGAGAGGGGTGGACGAAGGCGACGGGGAGGAGAAGGTATTCCGGTGGAACGGCGACGGACGGTACACGTCCGTTTCTACGTAGAACATAAGAGGGATATGTAGAGGGAAGACCAGCGGAGGAGAAGCGGGCGCGCATCTGCCGTCGCGTTCGCTCACTCGCTCCCTCGCTCGCTCGGAGAGAAGCGACAAAGACGGAAACGGTCGGTTGGTTGGTCATCGCGGAAGAACACGTAACGTGTTCCACGTGGGAAGGAGGGGGCACGAAAAATCCTAGAAAGAACCAAGCGCGAACGAAGATGCAGACGCATCCAGCGCGGCGCGGTGAACTTGAGACGCGAAAGAGGGAAGGAGGAATCTGTTGTTTTCAGGAGAATTCATCTCGGAGGGGGGTGACGCGCTGAAATACGTTTCAAATATATGTCAGCACATTCGCCAAGGTGGACGTCTCGTATTCGAGCGAAATCCGAAGCAGATATGACGAACGGCTACTGCAAAGAGTGTACATGATGTTTGAGAAAAATTCATGTGGGAATTGCGGAAAATTGTGACATATCTTGTCGTCTTATCTTCGAAAGCTCATTTTCATAATCCGTGATTAAATTTACTGCAGCTGCATCTTCTCTCTCTCTCTCTCTCTCTCTCTCTCTCTCTCTCTCTTGTTTACTTCTCTGTACGCTACGCGATCGTCTGAAACAGTCCGATGTGGGTGGTACACACCTACCTTGTCTGAAATGTTCAAATGAGCGTGCGAAAGAAATGGTGATCGCGCGGTCGAGAGCGACAAAAGAAGTGGAATGATAGCGACAGATAAAAACGACGGAGGAAGACGTGTCGTCAGCGGTGCGGTAATCGGTCTGTCTAAAGAGGATGGTTACGTGGTCGGTCAGTCGGTGCGTCGGCGATCCGCGCACGATCGAGGAACGGGAAGGAGCGCGGCGGAGAGACGACAGGGACGGACGAAATGGGTGACGGCCGATCAGGGGAGGGTGGGAGGCAGGGTGCAATGCGTTGCATAGGAAAGCCGGGACCCGGCGCTGCACCCGCCAGCAGTCTCACAATGCACTTTGCCCTGCGCGTCGCCGCCGCCGCCGCTGCCGCCGTCGCCAATACGCGATGCACCACGGCGCACGTGCAACGCGACTCGATGACGAATCTCTCTCTCTCTCTCCCCCCCCCTCTCCCTCTCTCTCTCTCTCTCTCTCTCTCTCTCCGTCGCGATAATATTTTGTGACGACAGTGTTGTTATTGTTGTTCCTGTTCCTGTGGTTGCGCGGCGCGATCGTTGCGTAAGCCGATTCCGTACGGTAGATTAGCGATTAATCGACGATTGACTTCTGTATTTTCGTCGCGCGATCGCAAATGAATGTCGCGAGGTCACCGTCTATAGCGGCTCAATCTGTGCTGCAAACGTGACCGTCTGATTTTCGTTCTGTTGACGTCGTCGACGTTCGTCGACGAGAGACGACGAAAGCACGTGCAGCGTCACGAGAGAGAACACGATTGGATAGATTTTCTAATCCATGACGCCGGGAATCCGGGATCCCGTCGAGGGAGGAAGGCGTATTGTCGGGCTAATTTCCAATTCGACTTTCCAACGGTCCATTTCCTGTCGCACCGAAATTCGTCGTCTGCGGGTTGGCGGATGGTACGATTAGAAAATAACTAGCGAGATCGTGCTTCGTTGCGCGCCGATACGCAAGGGTGCGTCCTAAAACGAAACTCGACTCGTACGTGAGCATCAAGCGACCACCTTGGGACATTGTCCTTTCCCTTCTATCGTTCGCGTTTCGTTCGTCCTACCTCGTCCGCGCGGAGTCTCTATAACGCAGACTGATTATTACGCAATTTGTCGCCACATTGTGTCTTCTTGTGACCTGTTTCGCGACGCTGCTTATTACATTCTTTAACTTTGTTGCACGGAGACACGTATGTGTTTATTGGTATCTTCACAAGGATGTACGCTCTCTCCCCCCCCCCTCTCTCTCTCTCTCTCTCTCTCTCTCTCTCTCTCTCTCTCTCTCTCTGTCTCTCTCACGTGCGTCCACAATCAAGTGGAACTTGAGTATTTTTCATACTATAGATACGAGATTTCATATAGATATGGAAGTGAAATAAAAATTGTTATTTGTTCTTTATCGAATATTTGCAGAATAACTTGAGGAAGTTGAATGTGACGAGACTTCAGCGGCCCGTTGCTCTCGCGTCGCGCTGTAGCGTTTATTTCGCTCGACGAGCCGGCGACGAGCCTTCCGATAGAACGATCCATACGAGGAGAATCGCGAAAGCACTTCGTACGAAACGCGGAAACGCACGAGGATTAGCGGTGAACGAGGTGAACCCTAACGCAATTAAGAGCTTTCGAGAGCTGCGATTAACTGTCGCGACAACGCGACACGGCCTTTTGACTCCGGTAACCGCCCCCACCATTCTCCCACGTGCCAACAAACTTCCGACAAAAAGTAATCGCCCAGCGACCTCCACAGCGAGTACCGGAAGTCGTAGGAAGCCACCAATTGTACGACAGTATCCTGCGACAAACCATTATCAATCTAGCGCGCCAGGAATAGGAAAACCGACAGTTTTGCGCGGGACGCGAGTGCTCCTTCCTCTTTCCTTCCACGGCGGAGTTGCACGAAGAAGTCAGACGAGACGAGCCGGTGAGTACTCGTAATCCAAGTTATCGGAATCATGTTTAGACATCGTTCGAATTCCTCTTGCGCGCTCGAATTCAATCTTAAACACGATTGCACGAAATTTCGACACAAGTCCAAACGTACACGTGTGGTGTTGTTGTCATGTGTCGCGCGACAAAGTTCCTCGAGCGGATTTTCGCCGTCGCAATATCGCGAAGTCAAGCGTAATCTCCGCTGTTGACGTCACACTTCGCATAAAAAATGCGTTTTACTGACGGTCAAGAAAGCACGGACGATTATTGCTAATCAGTGCTGTCAGTGGACAGGAACAAAGTTATGGAACCTGAGCGAATGCAAGCGACTCGTTAAACTAGCGAGAAGGTCCGACGAACAATTGCAAGAGTCGCATAAAAAGTCAATTTCCGGGAGCAAATATCTCGCAGATGATCTCCATGGTGCCTGTCCGAGATATTCGTCGACACGACGTCGTGGCGTTTCGCGGGCGAAATGACCGTTCGCTCCGTTTGAATTATCCGCCGCCTATCAAACTCGTTATTG